GTGAACCGGTTCCCAGGGACAGCCCCGGCGGCGGCCACTGCCAGAGATCCGAATGCCCTGGCGCTGCGCCAGTCCAGCCCGGTGCCTGGAGAAGTTCAGTGGGTTCACGGAGCGGGGTTTCTGCCAGGGCTGACGCTCTAGAGCCGCCTGTTTGTAGAGTCATGTTTATGTGACTCTACTGGTTTAATTTCGGACCAAGCGTGTAGGATTCTCCGCAAGAGAGAGACACGACCCAATGTGGCGCTCATGCCCCTTAAAAGATGTTCAGAAAGCCTGAGGATTTACATGATTAACTCTAAACATGTGGGTTCTTTTAATTAGCTACCTAGAAACCAAAACAGAGTGCAGGACACTACTGCAATGCAGCCTGTTAAGCAATAATGCATTTTTTCTTCCAAAAGTCACACTTGATAACAAACAATAGTCATAGGCGTAAGATGACTGTGATACTATGAGCTAATGTCTAGTTGTCAGAAACTTTTCCATTAAGGCTCAGAATGATGTTTAACATGTTCTGCCTATTATTGAGCTAAACTAAACATTGTATTAAACGTGGATTTCCCAATGAATGTTACTGACGTTCATTTTTACATGTGCATACATACGGAAGCAGACACCTGTACACATGCATTTTGGATATCAAAAGCACATCAATAGCATGGTTCACTCTATTCCCAGGATATAATGTTTTTTGACATTTCTTTTTCAATCCTTACTCTTTCCTGACCGTAAAAATAGATTTAAAAGAAGATTCTTTAAACAAACGTGAAATGCCAAAATTACATGTTCTCTCCTATTAAACAACGGAGAATGACTGAAAGGGTAGATTTCTTTCATTATCTAGGAAAAAAAATGCTGCTGAGGATGATCACCAAAATTTATGTACCATGTATTTTTCTACTCAAAATTCAAAAGCTTTGGTGTATAGCAAACACTTGAATAACTTATCAAATCCTGTGTAGGTGATAGCTTTAAGACAACTTCTTAAGGCAGTCGCTTAAGACAACTTCTTAAGGCAGTTCTTAAGCCTTTGCGCTTTGTTTTTGGCATTATGTATAACGCATTTAGGATTTCAAAGCTGGATATACTTACATTTAGATTTCGGGAAAGGGCAGAAGAAGGACAGTTGTTTGCTTTTCACTTTAAGAGACCTAGATTTCCTGATTGCGTTAGGCCCGTTGTTACTTTGTTGATTTTAAGTTGGTCCCTAGGGGGAAAAGAAAGCTTATAAGAAATGTATGAGCACACTATCCATTTTGCAGAAATATTAAGGAATATTGGCCAAGATTTTCAAACATAGTGGCTTAACGTAGTCTTTTAATTCCATATTCAGGCTTCTTATTCAAGGTCTACTGTTCAGAAGTATGAAAACCTGGCAACTCATTCACTTTGAGTAGCCTTTTTAGTTACTCAATGCTTGTGAAAACTGATGTAGCAGTTTGAATATGGACTAAAAATCCTAATGTTTGGTATTTTTGCTGGCAATCCTCTAATAATTATGCTGTAAATCAAAATATGGGTTTGGATTTCAAGAAAAGTGCCTTGAGCCTTGTTCCCACCCTTCTGCAGAGACACTGCGTAGCTTTTTCAGATTACTAGGTATAAAATTATCAGTTTGAAGGACAGCTGAAAAACTTTCACTTAATCTCATCTTTCTCCATGTGTGTTGCCCCCATGAAAATGTACATACAAACCCTTTCATGCCATGTGCAACATAAAGTCATTAGTTGCCAAGAGGCTTGGATTGATACGATGTGCTTGGAACTGCCATACAAAGTCCCAAACGTGACAGCACTCATAATGTGAGGATGCTAACAAAGGGAGCCACAGGCAATGCTAATGTCCTATATAAATATAAAATATGCTTATCTATTTTATAGACTAATCACTCTCATGCAGCTGCTACCAAGTCATCTGTGCTTCACCTGACCCAAATCCCACTGACATGACTGGGAAAAGTCTCTGTGATTTGGTGGGCTCAGCTGCCATCAAGATATTTAGGGTTCAGTGTGATAAAGTCCTGGATGGTGAATTCTGGAGACCTGTGCTCCAGCTGGAGTGCGAGCACGTACTTGAGTGCTTTGCTGGATCAGAACTAGGGAGGGCCCAGCACCTGGGCTCTCAGCTGCTGACAACCTGCTCCTTTTGCTGCTCAGCGTCCATCCTTCATGAACCCATGGGCTACTAGAAAAACAGCTCTTTGATAAGCAGTGTGATGCTTTTCACACGTTGGTTGGCTTTGCGGTTGAAAATTGAGATATTTGGGCTACGATCTTCCTCACCTGTGTTTTTACTCTCCAGAGCCACTGGTTTCCCAGCAGTCAGTGTAACTCCGGAGAGCCAAACACACTCAAAGGTATCTCTCCATCTACTTTAAGCATTTTATCAGCCAGGGCAAAATGAAAACTCAAGAGTAGTGGCTCCTAACCTCTGCACAGCTGAGCTTCAGCCGTGCCGTGTACCCCAGGACCCAGTGGGCCCCAGGGAGCTGTGCCCTGAGTGGCCTGGCCACCACCAGACTATGCTAACCTTAGAGGAAGGAAGCATTTTGAGAGTGAGGAGAGCCAAAAAGGAGTACTGATTTCACAAGGGAAACCTGCGGGTAGCTTGACTGTTTTACCTCAGATTTATTCCAGCCCATTTGAAACGTGCCTGCTACCCCGTTTCACCTGAATGCCACACCTGGGCTATTATAAGGTCTCTCTCTTTCAAATCTGACAAAAGAATTAATTAAATTTTGGTCAAAACAGTACATTTTCACAGAAGCAGCTTGACTCTTGTAGACTGAGGAGCATTTTCTGCCAGAAAGGAGATCTCAAAACATCAGCCCAGGTACCTCCGGAGTACATTGATTGCCAAACAGCTCTTGACTTTTGGTTGCTGGCTGGAATCTGTTTCTCCATTTCAGGTGGCTCCACCTGACCACCCAGCCCCAGCACGGGCTCTGAGAGCTGCTGCATGACAGCAGCCAGGTGGGTGCCTTCCTCACGAAGCCCAGAGCCCTTGCAGAAAGTAACTGGCTGCTTTCCAGGCCCTTTGATTTAGATTAGGAATTAGATTAGTGATGACAAAGCTTTCTGGCCTCTGGTGTCAAATTTATTTAAAAAAATCTCTGTAATGATTGCCAGCTCAGTTCTCTGGTAATACCAGATCTAGCACTGGCCCCCGATCTGCCCTTGCTTTGGTAGATAATCTGTGGTGATTTTCTTTTGACTCCCTCCATCTCTCTCCCTCCATCTCTCGCAAGCAGATCCCTGTTCAGTTTGTGGTGCAGTTTAGCAGATGCGCTGCCACCTGGGGAACTGATAGGAGGCAATGCCCAAGTACTGTGGATTATTTGCAATTGGTTTAATACAATTTATTTGAGCTGTACAAAAAAATGCGCATTTGGCCCCTTTCTGAGAGGACTCTAAAGCCTGGAGAGCAGAAATTGCCAATGCATTAGGCACAACCTCATTGCCATTTGCTTCCTAGTTTTATGAAGAGTAGCTTTTTATTGTTTATCCTGCCAAACAGGCCTTCTCCTTCAAACAATGAGTCAATAATTCAGAACACATCTACACACATCCAGCGCTTTTAGAGGCGGCTCTGGGCTCCACAGTTCAGCTCTGGATACAAACTTCTCTGCAGCTTGCAGGTGTTTAGGTTTGGGGCTTTGGCTCAGCTTCTTGTATGGATGAAGGAAAGTCACAAAGTCAGAAGTAGCTTTGAATAGTTAGCAAAATGGAGAGCTGCCAGACTGAAGGGGATGGCAAGCTACTTTGCCTGTGCCTGAGGAGAGAGGGATTAGACATTTCAGCCAAACAGCTCATTCCTGCCTCCTGTTTGTACCATCCGTGCTGCTGTTACTGCCTTTGTGGGATTAGAGAGAGGGTAAAGGAGTGCCAGCGTGTACCAGAGGGCCCCAGTACAGCAGCGGCAGCAGCAATCACATCTGCCCCTTCTACCTCCAGTGGCAGCAGGATTTCTCTGGCTTTCTGCCCTGGTCCTGTCCTAGTTTGTGTCCCTCCAAACCAGGACCGACCCCTCCTTGACAATCAAGAAGGTACAGAAAAATGTGTAGATGGTGATGGTGGATATAGTGGAAGTGAAGGGAAGGTCTCCGGGCGTCCTGCCTCCGGGGAGGAGGGGAAGGAAGGAAAAGAAGTGGTCCCAAGGAGAAGAGACAACTGTAGGAGCAGAAAAAGTGCCCTGTCCCCTCACAACCTCCCCACACACAGTCCCCTCAGTCCTCAAAAAGCCCCCACAACATCACTGACACAGTTCCCACCTTTCCCTCTCACATGCCTTTCCCTATCCCACACCACCACCACACCCCCCCACTACCCCTGCCTGCCTTGCCTGCTCCAAGGATGCCCTTGGCCAGTGCTGAGAGTTTGGGTTTGCTACACAGTGTAACCAATAAAAAGCCAAATTCTGGCTCCAGTAAATCACTCAACAGGCTCCCACTGATTTTTCTGAAAGGAACTCCTGGCCACTTTGAGATGTTGTTCTCTTTAAAATGAATATATTATTATTATTATTATTATTATCATCATCATCATCATCATCATCATCATCCAGCTCTTCATGTCCTGAGACCAATCACTTCATGTGCATTCCTCCACTTTCAGAACTGAAAACATATGATGGTGCAATATGTTTTTTTTAACCTGAAAAAATAATCTCATGGAAGTTTTCCTACTGATACAATCCCTGTCTCCCCTGTGTTATTCAGTCACGTGGAGATCCTGATATATATATATTAGGACTGTTTGGAGAAGTTCCAGGTCTAAAGCCATGATGTTGGGGAACGTGAAGCAACACAAGGCAGTCTTTTTTGTTACGGAGAAAATAAGTCCCAAGAAGGCTTCCTGGAGAAGCAAGGGAGGGAGGGAATATGAAAGAGAGAGGAGAATGACAGAAACCATTCTTAAGAGGAAACTTAAGCATTAGATTTCCTGATTGGTAGAGTTTCATTTCATTGCTCTGCTTTTAAGAATTACTTAGTGCAAAGCTGTAGCTGAAAGGAGAGGGGAGAATTTATTTTCTGTGTACTAAATATTCAGATATAGTAAGGTGGCGTGCACTCTCCTCTCCCTCCCACTCTGCTGCCTGCAGGTATTAACTGGATTATGGAAAACAACACTTTGTGTTTGCAATTCCAGTGCAGAAAGGCAAAATCAGAAAGGCAGAAAATCACTGTATTCTCTCTCTCAACACGGAAACAGCATGACCCCTGGTTAATTTAAGTAGTCACATAAATATAACTTCTATTTTAAGTATATACTTAAGTCCTGATGATTCAATATTCAGCCCAAATGCAAATGACTTTTGTGGAATGAGGTTTGCATTGAACTGGATCTACTTAGTGAAATATTTCAATCTGGTGTTTGAGGGAGAAAAGAGGAATTTGGTCAATTGCTGCAAATGCCTCTGTAGCAAAATTGCTGCTGTACTCATTGTTTGTGCTATTTTCTAGTGAATTTTTTAAATTTTTGTGAGAGAGAACTACTGTGGAATAGAAGGCTGGTCTGGAGAAAAGTCACAGGAATGTGTACACATAATTACATTTTTTGAAAGTAGCACGCTACACAGGATTTCCTAAACTGTACCAGAAAACATTGACATCCTGGAACTGACATTTGCAATTTCAAATACCAGCTTTCCAAGCATAATTAGTGTCTTTGTAAATGTTTCAGTATCAAATTTGGGACTCATTTTGGACAAGCCAGTCCATAAAATTATTTTTTTTTCCCATTTATTATTTCCTTTTCCAATGTTCCAGGGATGACAGCTGTGATGTTTAAAGCTAAGAAATAGTAAATTGAAATAGCATGCTTTAAAGTATTTATTACATTTAATTACAATATATATAAGTTGCTTTCATTTATAATTCACTCTCTTCTCCTGACATTTTTCTTTTTTTGCTTAAAGTACCTATGATTCCCATCGTCCCTTATACAAAATACACAAATACTTTTACATAACTACAGCTTTCCTCTAGTCAGACACCAAAATAGAGGGTTGAGGATATGAAAATTACTTATGACAGATGAGTCACATTAATATTTTGTTCTAAGCCATGAGAAAAATGAGACACAAGGGGTAGGAATCAGAACAGATCAAAACCCTTAGTGCTTTATGATCCAAAACCACAACTATCTATTGAGGTGCAAAATGTTCTTTTTTCAAATAGAGTGTGAGAAAAACACAAAGAATTTTGTA